TGTGAGAGTCAACCACAAGAAACCTCTGAAGAACCAAACGACGACGCTCACGGACGCCCACCATCGAGAAAGCGTGGACAGCTGCGCAAGAAGAAGACTTCAAACAGCAACAAAAGTGAGACGACCCACCAAGAAGCTCCTTATAGTTGTCCCGATTGTGGGAAGATCTTCAGTCGAAGGTCCTTCCTCATCCCCCACCAACGGATCCACACGGGTGAAAAGCCCTTCACCTGCCACGAGTGTGGGAAGAGCTTCCGCGTTGGGTCGGCGCTCACCAAACATCAGCGGGTCCACACGGGTGAGAAGCCCTACGAGTGCCCGGACTGCGGGAAGAGCTTCCGTCTGACCTCCACCCTCAGCACCCACCGCAAGATCCACACCAGGGACAAACCCTACGTCTGTCTGGTTTGTGGGAAGACCTTTCGGTTGAGTTCGTATCTACTGGCCCACGAAGCCACCCATAGCGTGGACAATCCATACCGATGTCTGGCGTGTGGGAAGAACTTTAGTTTGAGAAGATACTTGGCCATTCATCAAAGGATTCATACCGGGGAGAAGCCCTTCAAGTGTTCGGTGTGTGGGAAGGGCTTCAGCCGAAGGTCCATCTTGATCGTTCATCAGCGTGTCCACACTGGAGAGAAACCCTACAAGTGTCCTGAGTGTGGGAAGAGCTTCATCATGAGTTCAGACCTGGTGGCCCATCGGAGAATCCACACGGGTGAGAAACCCTACAACTGTCTCAACTGCGAGAAGAGCTTTCGGTTGAGTTCCCACCTGACGAGACATCAGAGAAGTCACACCGGGGAGAGACCTTACAAGTGTCTGGATTGTGGTCAGAGCTACACGGACAGCTCTGGACTCATCAAACATAAGAAGAACCATCTGGAGAAGAAGCAGAGAACATCTCCAGGAGGTGAGGGACGTTATAAATGTCCTTATTGTACTAAGAGCTTCCATACAAAGTCAACTCTGGTCCTTCACCGAGCTACTCACGTTGGAGAAAGACCTTATAGATGTTCCAAGTGTGAGAAGACCTTCAGACACAGCGCCACTCTCCTGAAGCACCAACGGATCCATACGGGGGAGAGACCTTTCAAATGTCCCGACTGTGACAAGTGTTACAACGACGGCTCCACCCTCCGGAGACATCGGAGAAGCCACACGGATGAGAAACCTTTTAAATGTCCCAGCTGTGGAGAATGTTTTGGTGGCATCAAAGCTCTTCTGAAACATCAACGGTTCCACACCGAGGGGAGACCTTATCGATGTGCCGACTGCGGGAAGAACTTCCATTCCAATTTTCTTCTCGTCACCCACCAACGGATCCACACAGGAGAGAAACCTTACACCTGCCCCATCTGCCAGAAGACCTTCAGACAAGCTTCTCACCGTAGCAGGCACCAGGAGATCCACAGGAGGACCAAAGCTGGAGTCACTTTGCGTGATGGGTCCCAGAACCACGTGGAGAAAGGAAAGACCCGGCACAAAGGAGGAGTTGAGGTGGGATGTGAGGAGCCATCGACGAGTCCAGATGGTGCTTCCACAGCTCCACAATAAAAGATCTTGAGATGTTTC